CCTGCCAAGCAGGGAGCCCGATGTGGGACTCGATCCAGGGACTCCAGGACCATGACCCGAGCCGAAGGCAGTTGCCCAACCAACTAAGCCACCCAGGCGCCCCTGTGATTCAACAGTCTTACACAATTCACAGCACTCACCATAGCACATACACTCCCCCATGTCTATCACCCAGCCACCTCATCCCTCCCACCCCCACCACTCCAGCAACCCTCAGTTTGTTTCCTAAGATTAAGAATTCCTCATATTAGTGAGATCATATGATGCATGTCTTTCTCTGATTGACTTATTTCACTCAGCATAATACCTTCCAGTTCCATCCATGTCATTGCAAATGGCAAGATTTCATTCCTTTTGATGGCTACATCAGGCAAGCTTTTGATGACAGCAGTCCCAGTTCCCATCTTCACTGCAACCTTATGATAGACTGGGAACTGGCTCATTTAGCTAAGCTTTCCTCAAAAGCTCACCCCCAGAAACTGTGAGGTAATCAATGGGGTTGTTTGGGACATAAGTTCTGAAGTAATTTGTTATGGGCCGGATAGATAAAACAGACCATTACATTAATCAGTATGTAACTTTGGTCTTGGTGACAAGTATTATGATAGAGGTGGAATGCAAGTTGTGGTACAGACACCGGATGAAGTAGTAGTTCTTCCAAAGACAGGCCGAGCTGCGATGCAAGTTTTCATGCATTCTGCAAGCCTGGTATAAATTATTACTTGTTAATCACAAAATAATCAGAGAAAGGGAAATATTTATTTCTTTGTACATGGAGGCAACCAAGCACATTTTCTCGTATGAAGTTCTACAAGTTAAGGACACTTTAGTTTTTCTAGCCAAGTTTACAACTTTAACCAAGAGGCTAGATTCCTGAATTCATGTTTTCATTATTCAGATTTGGAAAAGCAACCTACAGTATGTGGGTCAGAGAAAAAGCTTCCAAACAAGATGTCTTGAAGTCCTTTAAGTTATTGATTCCCTTCTTCCCCCAGTAAATTCTTCAATAAACTGGAATGCCTCATCTTTCACAAAACTTTCATAAGAGAACATGCTAGCATTTTGGTTATCCTAGTACTAGTGTCAGCTCAGACTCTGTATCTGACAGTTCTTGAAAGATCTGGGCATTTCTTCTCTCCCTGTGTCTAATTATGCTAGTTTGTCTGCATGGGGGAGGATTAGGGGAATTGATAGTGTATATATTTACTGTATGGTGGGTTCTTTCTGAACCACTGGTGCATTTCTTACTGCTTTAGTGAAAGGGGTGACCCCTCTGGATTCTACTGAGGAACATGGTCATCTGGTGGATTTTCAGATTTTTATGTCAGATCCATTGTAACATGACAACTTCTCTGAGCCTCTTGACTTTTGGTACTTTGCCAAAGCAATTCTGGCATCTCTACCTCATTTGTTGTAGGCCATTAGTTTTCCCCCCAAGCTTTGAGGAACCGTCCCAGTAGCCCAGAACTGACTCCAGGTGTTCTTCTCAGGGATTCAATCCTGAGTTACAGATTGTACCCATATCAACAACCTCTCCCTTATATTCTGTTCCGTTGGTCCAGCATGCTCATGATTGATTTTCAACATGTTTTTCCAGTTCTTGCTGGTACATGTGAGCCACATACTGTGATTATTTTGGTGAATTATTTTCCTAGTCAGGCTGAGAGTTGAACTTATTTATTGGCAGAGAATTCATGAGGGGAGGGAAGGTAGGTATCATCTTATGAGGCATTTACCTTAGTAAGGCTCCTGTGGTGTCCAGGCAGGGAGAACCTGCTCTCCCGTGGCAGTGGGGAGTGGGCCACTTCTTTAACAGCCAGTGGTTAAAGCCAGAGTAATCAGAGGAGATAAGGGAAAATTTAAATGCTGTTATACAAGTTTTGTGGTTTTCAGTCGTGCTCTTAGTTGGTGGTTGGTTGACTCAACCTTGTTGTTTTGTTTTTCCTTCAACATAATGATGATACTTAACAAAAACCAACTAAACCCACAGTTCTTGTAATTACCATTGCCATTTTATCTCTCAAGTGCTAGTGCTGTTGCACAAGCCAATGCATATCCTGCAATCTGTATCCCCTCCCAATTCAGCACAGAAGACTTAGTAATTGTATTACGAGAGCATGCCAAGGGGGATTATTACCCATTTACACCAATGTGTTAGTTATCTATTGTTTAGCAGGTTAATACACAGATATTTATGCTCTCTAAGTTTTTATTGTTCAGGAATCTGGGAGCAGCTTAGCTGGGTGTTTTGGTTCAGGATCTCCCACAAAGCTGTAATGGAGGTGTTGGCCAGGGCTGTAGTCATCTCAAAGCTGGACTCAGGAGGAATCCTTATTTAGTTTTATTCACATCGCTGTTGACAGACCTCGGCAGCCAAACTAACTTGGGTCTTCACAGGGCTGCTTCGTGCTTTGACAGCTGGCCTCTCCCAGAACAGGCAGTCCAAGAGAGAAGATCCCAGAATGGAAGCCATGGTCTTTTTAGAACTCATTTCAGAGTGACATCTCATCACTTCTGCTTTTAAAATTGAGTCAATAAGTCTAGCCCACATTTAAGGAGAGAGGATTACACAGGGGCATGAATACCAGGAGGCGGGGATCCTGGAGGTCCATCTTAACCCCAGACCACAGCGTTGTTCTTTTGCCATCTTGTTGGCAAGTGATCCACTTTCAGAATCCCATCCTTAGGATCGGCTTCCTAGGACTGCTTCTGTTACCAAATATCTTAGTTTGGGATAGAAGCAGACCTTGAGACAAAAATTAGATTTGCAGTAGTTTGATTAACAAGATGAATGGGACACTAATAGGAAAGTGGGGAAATTCCAATTCAGACTTGGGAAGATAGTGAAGAGTCATCCCAAGGCCCAGAGTGAATAGGTGTGATAGCACCTATCCCCTCTATCTGCAGGGAGCAGGCACCCTGAAGGAAAGACAAGGTGTCTACGTCATGATGCTTGCTCTGTTTGGGAAGCAGAAGCTCACAAGAGCCCCTTGACATCACGTGATAGCCATGATATCCTGTTGGAGAGAGAGACTGAGGATGTAGCCCACCTTCCTGACCAATCTTAAATCATGAAGCTAGTGGGTTTAAGTTAAAAAAAAAAAAAAAGACATTTTATATCCTGGTCTCTCAAGGTCTACTGACATGTGGGGCTCCTGTCTGATTCAGTGGCTCCAGATCTAGGGAAGCCCAGGCTGGAGCAGAAGAGACTTGAACTAGGAAGGGAGCTCCTGTTGTGTGTATGGTGGAGAGACGGTTGGGAAAGAGACTCTATGTCTAGGAGATAGGGAAGAAAGTCCTGTCCCAAGAGGAATGATAATCTTAATCCTGGTTCTAGGAGAATTAAGAAGGGGTTTAGGCAGAGTGGTAGGGAGCCAGGGTAAAGGGATTAGATGCCACAAACTATTAGTGGATCTTGTCTTCCCCTCATCCACTTCTTGGAGGAAAGAATCTGTGGGACACATTAGTTAAAGCACTACACAAGTACCCCCTTTCTGTGAAGAGTGAAATAAAAGCTAGTTTTGTTGTTTAATACCACAACTGCCTCCCAGGGAGTGTGGATCCTGATAAATAACAAGACTCTCCCCAGGCCCCCCTTCCCCCCCATTTTTTTCCTGCTGAATTCCTAGATGGCTTAGTTATAAAGCCAGGTAATATGAACTGCTGAGAGCTAAACTGTCCTGGCCAGTTGAAGAAGAACTTGAAATTGCTTTGATAATCCAGGAGAGAAGAGGTAAGTGCCATCGACATAAGTGATGGTTTGAGGCTGGGTTATATAAGATGAAATACCACTAGAAGTTCCTCTGAGGGGAGTTATATTAAGAATGAAATTCTCATATCCTTCAAGAGAAACCACATTAGGGTCTCCACACACTTACACAATGCTGATGCCCAGCTGTTTTCAAGGAAGCTGGAAGCCTACAGCATCCCATGGACCATGGGGTGAGTGCCCTCTGAGAGCCCCTGAGCTTGACCCTTGACCTGGAGGGCCCCAGACCTTTCTGAGCCCTACCTGGAGGCTGGCATTTTGCTACTAGGACAAGCTCAGCTATTGAGGACACCCCCACCCCAAATTCCAGTTCTTATGTGATTTTAACCATTCAACTTGCTGTTGGGTTTTAATTCTCTAATTATTATTATTATTGTTATTATTTTTTAGGACCAGTTGTAGTGAATTGCTACTGAAAGCTATCCCAGGTGATACAGAGCTCTTTGTAAACCACAGTCACACATTAGGGTTAGTATTAAACTTTGTTTAGATGTACCATAATTAACTTGGCTAGTTGATTGTTTGAAGTCTATGGAAGAAATAGTTTTATCCAAAATTTTAAAAATGCCAGTCTGTTCAGGGAGGTGTAGGGGGTTTCAATGTTGTTGGTAGCCAGGAAGGCAGGAGAGCTGGTAGGTGGGGACATTGTGTGCCTCGGCTGTGTCACATGTGAGCAGGCCCAGGTTGACCTGGTGATGTGAATTGATCTGATCAGACTATTAAAAACGTTAGTACATTAAAAAAAAAAAAAGAATGAAATACTTAATGTTCAATGGGGATTTATTTAAGTTGATGTAATGAAGACCTCCCCTCTTCCATCAGCTTGCTTCAGCCTGAATGTTTAATAAACTCATGAATGGTGAGGTTTTGTTTCTTTGGTGTGAAATGGGCGGAGCTTCATGGGGTGGGAGAGAAAATATGCAAGGAAACATGGGCCCAGAGGTAGAGATGAAAATGGGAGTATCTTGGGGTGACTTGTTTAAAGGGTCTGAAATTGGGTGATTCAGATCAAACTTTAAAAGGGAGGATGTTACTGGGTGACATTGGGTCACATAAGAACAATGTTGGTGAGGGTCGTGAGGATAGGTAGAATCCACATATGAGCATACTGCTGAATGTATCGGAGGCAAGAAAATAGAAACAGCGTTGTGTAGATAATTCTTCTAGACCACGAAAATGATACAGAACACAATTTAGTTGGTGAAATAAGCTGCAGATCTTGCATATATCACATTGTACTTAAGGTAGCAGGATACAGCGGATACTGAAAAAAAAAAGTTGAAATGTTTCTAAAACAACATTTGTTTTCGATTTCAGTTTTTTTACTTTGTAGACAAGTAAGTTAGATTCCCCTTTCTCAGGTCAGGTAAAAATAGGCAGATTAAATCGGTTTTAAGATTTTTCAAAATGGCATGAAGCACCAAGAGTAAAGAATACGTAAGCAGACTTATTCCCTTGTGGGGAATGCCAGTGTCCAATTTATGACTGGTGATTTATTTACACTGGTGTCTGGTTTGTGGGCCAAAGATAGACATCAGAATTTGGAATTATTAAGATAATTTCCCCTTTGATATGAAACAAAAACAAGTGGCCTCTTTATAAACTATGAACTTGAACTTGGGCTAAAATTTTATGAGCTAACCTCATCAGTTAATGTGCCATGTAAAAAGAAGAAACCCACCAGATTGTAAATTAAACACTATTGGCAAGGGTAGGTGAACACTTAGGTATTTTGGGGCTTACATCTTTTATAAACTGGGAATAAAATAAGATATAGAGGGGAAGGAAATGTTTTACAAATTCCTGAAACCTTAAATTCCAGCCATTACTTCCTGTTTACTGCCTCCCCCAGCCCCCACACTCCTTTTTCTTGGTCCCAAACACTCAGACATAAAAATTATGTGAGCAACTTGCCATTTTCCGGTTTTCATTAATTCAACTGCTTCATTGATTTTATCCAGATTCAGAGTATGGGTAATTAGTGGATCTAGATTAAACTTCTTTGCCATATAATCAGAAACCAGTTTAGAGGCGCTCTCTCTGCTTTTCCAGCCTGGAAATACACAGATAAACAACAGATTTTATATATGAGACTCACTGTACAAGAAAGGCCATATAAGGTAATTGCTGGAGGTGCTGGCTTTGAGGAAATCAAAGGATTTCCCATTAATTGTCTCAGTGATCCTGAGAATGACTGTTCCAACCATATACCTTGTATAGAAGGCTTTTCTCTTGAAGGAGACCTCTGATACTACAGAGGAGAATTTACTCAAATATCTTAAGAGAAGGACTTTCATCATGGCAGTGATTTTAGTCACAGCTTTTAGAAAAAGAATTTGTACAAAGCAAGGTAAAAATGAGGTGTACTTTATGGAAATAAGAATTGCACAGGGAAAGGGGGTCAGCTAAGGTAATGTAAGCTTGGTGTTCTCTTTTCTCTATTCTCATGATTTTCAAGAAATACTATCCTTATATTTAGCATTGTGCTGAGTAACATGCCTAGTGGGTCATGACCCAGAATTTGATGGCCTGCTCGTTCCTGGAAAGGGTGAGTGTAGTGTAATTGTTCAGGGAAGCAGCGGTGTTATAAGCAGCTTATCCTGTGACAGGATCTTGGCAGTTACTTTTCTTGGTTCCATCCTGGGCCGGGTTCTCTAACCTTCCTGCTTACTCTCAAAACTACCTAAAACTTTTTTTTCTGTTAAGTTGGCTTCTGTTATATATAATCAGTTCTAACTACTGCTCTATGTCATGACACGAATGGCTAGTGTATTTTTCTATTTGTTTTTTATCTTTTAAAAAAATTGAGATATAATTAACATATAACATATTAGTTTGGGGTGTATAACATAATGATTTGATGCCTGTATATACTGTGAAATGATTACTACTAAGCTAGTAAACATCCATCACCATACACAGTTACAAATTCTTTTTTTCTTGTGAAGACAACTTTGAAGATCTATTCTTAGTTATTATCTTTTGCTTGGTGATCTATAAAGCACTTTCATATATATATGAGAAATACTTCCAGTTGTTTTTTAAGAAAGGGTCCAGGACTATACACTAGGTGAGGCAGTGTTTCTCAATAATGGCATGGCATTTTGGGTGGGGAAAGTTCTTCATTGTGTACATCGTAGGAGGTTTAGCCTCTTGGCCAACACGGTCACTTCCACTTTCTAAATTTTTTCAGGTAAAATTGACATACGATATTATTGGTTTCAGTTGTACAACATAGTGATTTGACATTTGTATACGTTGTGAAATGGTTACCACAAATCTAGTTACTATGTGCCACCTTACAAAGTTAATACGCTATTATTGACTGTATTCCCCATGCTATGCATTATATCACCGTGACTTATTCATTTTATAACTGGAAGTTTGTACTTCCTAATCCCCTTTACCCATTTTGCACCCCCAACCTCCCTTCCCTCCAACAACCACAGATCTGTTATCTGTATCTGTGAGTCTGGGTTTTGTTTTGTTTGTTTCATTTGTCATGTGGTATTTGTTTTTTTCTCTCTGACTTATTTCACTTAGCAAAATAGCCACAAGGTCCATACATGATAATGAAAATATCAAAATTTCATTCTTTTTTTTTTGGCTGAACAGCGTTTTATTGTATGTATATACCACATCTTTATGCATTCATCCACGACAGAACCTTATGTTGTTTCCACGTCTCAGCTATTGTAAATAATGCTGCAGTGACTCTAAGTGTGTCTGTATCTTTTTGTATTAGTGTTTTCATTGCTGGAATTGCTGCATCATATGGTAGGTCTATTTTAATTTTTGAGGAACCTCCATACTGTTCTCCACAGTGGCTACACCAATTTACATTCCCACCAGCAGTGCCACAGGGTTCCCTTTCTTCCACATCCTTGTGAACACTTGTTATTTTGTCTTTTTGACACTAGCCATTCTGACTGGTATGAGCTGGTATCTCATTGTGGTTTTGATTTGCATTTCTCTGATGATGAGTGATGTTGAGCGTCTTTTCATGTGCCTGTTGGCAGGTGTTTGTCTCCTTAGGAAAAAATGTGTATTTAGATCCTCTGCCCATTTTTTTGAATGGAATTGTTTGATTTTTTTGTTGTTGAGTTGTATAAGTTCTTTATATATTTTGGATATTAACCCTTTATCAGATATATGATTTGCAAATATTTTCTCCTATTCAGTAGGTTGCCTTTTCATTTTGTTGATGGTTTCCTTTGCTGTGCAGATACTTTTTAGTTTGATGTAGTCCCATGTGTTTATTTTTGCTTTTGTTTCTTTTGTCTTTGGAGTCAGATCCAAAAAAAATAAATAAATAAAACAAAACAAAACACTGTGATGTCAAGTGTCAAGGAGTTTACTGCCTATGTTTTCTTCTAGGAGTTTTGTGGTTTCGGGTCTTATATTCAAGTCTTTAATCCATTTTGAATTTCTTTTTTATATATGATATAAGATAATGGTCCAGTTTTATTTTTTACATGTAGCTGTCCAGTGTTTCCAACACCATTTATTGAAGAGACTGTTCTTTTTCTATTGCATATTCTTGTCTCCTTTGTCCTAAATTAATTGACCATATGAGCATGGGTTTATTTTTTGGACAGTCTGTTTGGACACAACATCTTTGTGTCTGTTTTTATGCCTATACCATACTTTTTTGATTACTATAGCTTTTTAATATAGCTTGAAATTAAGGAGTGCAATATTTCTGACTTTGTTCTTTCTTAAGATTGTTTTAGCTGGGGCGCCTGGGTGGCTCAGTCGTTAAGTGTCTGCCTTCGGCTCAGGTCATGATCCCAGGGTCCTGGGATTGAGCCCTGCATCGGGCTCCTTGCTCAGTGGGAAGCCTGCTTCTCCCTCTCCTACTCCGCCTGCTTGTGTTCCCTCTCTCACTGTGTCTCTCTCTGTCAAATAAATAAAATCTTAAAAAAAAAAAAAAAGATTGTTTTAGCTATTTGGGATCTTTTATGGTTTCATGCAAATTTTAGGATTATTCTGGTTCTGTGAAAAATGCCATTGGAATTTTGATAGTGATTGCATTGAATCTATAGATTGCTTTGGGTACTATGGACATTTTAATAATACTACTTTTTTCATCCATCAGCATGGATTATCTTACCATTAATTTGTGTCTTCTTCAATTTATTTCATCAGTGTTTTATAGTTTTCAGTGTACAAATCTTTTACCTCTCTGGTTAAATTTACTGCTAGGTATTTTATTCTTTTTGATGTAATTGTAAATGTGATTGTTTCTTGATTTCTCTTTTTGATAGTTCATTATTAGTGTGTAGAAACAACAGATTTTTTATGTTAATTTTGTATCCTGTAACTTTACTGAACTAATTATTAGTTCTAACAGTTTTTTGGTGGAATCCTTAGGATTTCCTATATTTAGCATCATGTCATCTGCAGATAGTGACAGTTTAGCTTCTTCCTTTCCAATTTGGATTGCCAAATTGTGGCTAAGTTTTGGCAAAGTCTTCCAATACTATATTAAATAAAAGTGGGGATAGTGGGCATCCTGGTCTTGTTCCTGATTTTAGAAGAATAACTTACAACTTTCCATTTTTGAATATGATAGTAGCTCTGGCTTTGTCATATTAGTCTTTATTATGTTGAGATACATTCCCTTTATATTTACTTTGTTGAGAGTTTTTCATCATGTATGGATATTGAATTTTGTAGAATGCTTTCTCTACATCTATTGAAATGATTATGTAACTTTTATCTTTCATTTTGTTAATAGGGTGTATCACATCAGTTGATTTGCAGATGTTGAACTATCCTTGCATTCCTGGAATAAATCCCACTTGATCATATTTTGTGGTCCTTTTATTGTATCATTGTTTCAGTTTGCCAATATTTTATGGAGGTTTTTCACAGCTGTGGTCATTGGAGATATGGACTTGTAATTTTTTTGTGGTGTCCTGGCCTGGTTTTGGTATGAGAGTAATGCTGGCCTTGTAAAATGAGTTTGGAAGCTTTCTTTTATTTTCATTTTTTTGAAGGAGTTTGAGAAGCTTAAGTATTAATTCTTTAAATGTTAGAATTCACCAGTGAAGTTGTCTGGTCCTGGACTTTTGTTTGTTGAGAGGTTAATTACTGATTAAGTCTCCTTTCTAGTAGTCATTGTATTCAGATTTTCTATTTTTTCATGATTCAGTTTTGGAAGAAAGTAAATTTCTAGGAATTTATCCATTTCTTCTAGGTTGTCCAACTTGTGTATAATTGTTCATAGTAGTCTTGTGATTCTTTGTATTTTGGTGGTATCACTTACTTCTCCTTTTTCATTTCTGATTTTAGTTATTTGGGCCCTACCTCTTTTTTCTTGGTGAGTTTAGTAAAGGTTTATCAGTTTTGTTTATCTTTTCAAAGAACCAGCTCTTAGTTTCATTGATTTTTTTTCTTTTTCTTTTTAAAAAGAATTTATTTATTTATTTTAGAGAGCACGAGCAGGGGCAGGGGCAGAAGGAGAGGGAGAGGGAGAATCTCAAGCAGCCTCCCCACTGAGCATGGAGCCTGATGCCACGCTCGATCCCACGACCCTGAGATCATGACCTGAGCTGAAATCAAGAGTTGGATGCCCAACTGATTTTTCCTATATTTTTTGTCTCTATTTCATTTATTTCCTTTCTTATCTTTATTATTTAACTCCTTTTACTAATTTTGGGCTCTGTTCTTCTTTTTTAGTTCCCTTCGATATAAAGTTAATTGTTTGAGTTTTTTTGTTTCTTGAAGTTGGTCTGTATTGCTATGAACTTTCCTCTTAGAAGAATTTTTGCTGCATATTTTTTAGATTTTAGTATATTGTATTTGTTTTCATTTATCTCTAGGTATTTTTTATTTCTCCTTTGATTTCTAATATGACCCAATAATTGTTCAGTAACATACTGTTTCATCTTTACATTTTTGTAGTTTTTCCAGTTTTCTTCTTGTAATTGATTTCCAGTTTTGTACCATTGTGGTTGGAAAAATGCTTGATATGATTTCAGTCTTCTTGAGTTGTCTTGTGGCCTAATGTACCATCTGTCCTGGAGAATGTTCCACTTGTACTTGAGA